AAATATGACTAATTATATTACAATATACAAAATTAAAGTAAATAATACTTATTAATTATATATATGCAGAAAAAACTGAATCTTTAGCTTTTAGGCAGTACTGCGTGCGAGAAACTTCGTCAAAATAATTTATTTAAAATAAAGAAATTATGAAAATGCAGCATTGACTAGGCAGCAAAACGCAAGTGAATACATGGAAATACTTGAAAACATATCAAATTCGTGCCCGATAACAAAATATGAGAGTATAATTACCATAATATACATACACTTGTATACATACATGCATACACACATAAATACTTACACAAGTAAATGGAAATGGCAAAAAGTTTTAATAATATTAGCATCTATACATTCTACATATACGATATTGATATTTAATTAAATATATATTGCGCAATGTTGCAAATGTCTACACAACATTACTGACATTTACATACGCCACATGCAGGCAGTTGCAGCATGTACTGTAACAATTACATTATATATCAATTACATTTGTTTATCATACAAGCATTTTTTGTTTTTCTTTTTGAGACTTGTTTTTGTTTATATAAAACGAAAAAATATGTATTAATATATACATATATATGCTGTTGCGTATGTATTTGAGGCAACAAAAGGCAAACAAAAAATACAATACATTACCAAAGCAACATTTGAAAAAAGTTTACAAATTTACGCATTATTAAAAAATAATTTATTATAATAAGAAATAAAGCTATACAACAAGATATCTAATAATATTGAGTTCGTTCATTAAGCAACAAGTTTGCAATCAATTCTAAAGCTTTCATAAGTACAATTCTTTCATAAGAGCTTTTGCGTGGTTGCCCGCCTGCAAGCAAAATTAAGGTGAAAGCAACTTTTTCTAGACTTCCAACTCGATTCCAATCAGCAAATAATACGAAATATGCTCAAAATTGCAGCAAAATCCAATATTTTATAAGAGACTTATACATACAGACATACGTACGAATGTACTTAAATTATTTCTTGCGCTTGCTCTTCAATTTTCGAACAAAGTAACTACATTCATATTGAAAATTACTTATGTACTTAAATATATATTTGCATTCAAATCATAGCAACATAAAACATACATACAAATTATTGAAGTAAAATACATAAAATACGAGCCTTGTTCTTTATACATACATACAATACAGAAAAATATTGAAATATTAAAAAAAAAATAAAAAAAAAAAAAAAAAAACAAAGTAAAAGCAAAACAAAAAATTATTATAAACATTAATATAATAATGACAGCTGCAAGTAATGCAAATTTGCAAAATAATGATATTTTAAATAATATAAAAGTAAACAAATATTTAGCGGAAATATTGTAATATTGTGAGTTTAAACGTATTGTTGCATTCAAAAATGAGAAAAAATACAAAAACAAAAAAAAAAAATATTACAACCATAAGAAAAAATAATTGTTTACTTAATTGAACGTACAGAGCGAGGGTGGAGCGTAAAGAGCGCGTACGCTATAGAAATCTACAACGGTAAAGTGCGTGAAGCTAGCAAAAAAGCACGCAGAAAATTATAATACACGCAAGAAAATTTAGCATCAAAATTAGTGTACAAATTATGTTAAACTATTGAAGAAAAAGTTATTTTAAAAATAACAATTTCAGTGAAAAAAATGTTATTTTAAAAATAACAATTTCAGTATGCAGAAATGGTTTTTAAGCGTCATTTTTCGGTTTGCAGCAGATTGCATATTTTTTATGAATTTCTCTACAATATACATATATTTTAAACTACTATTTTATTTTAGGAATTTATTGAAAATTCAATTTAATTTTTTTGTTATTTTTTAGTTTTTTTTTTTTTTTTTTTTTTTTTTTTTGTTTTGTTTTTTGCTTAAATTATCTTTTTTATAGGTCTGTTTGAGATTTTTTGTTTTGTTTCCTTAAAACCGTACGCCGTTGATCCAAGCAATTGGATAAGAGTTGGAAACATATAACATAGAACGAATTACGTACATAAATATATAGATGCATGAAAAGTAAGTGAAAAAAGAGTAAACAAATAAAAAAATATGAAAATAAAATTTTAAATTGTTTTGTGTAATTGTAAAAAATAAAAAAGAATCGTTGTTTTATTTCCAATAAAGGGGTGTGCGGCAATTTCTCATGATTAAAATATTAAATCATACAAAATTTTTGGAAGTTCAGCAGGCACTTGGTTTTCGGAGGCACTGCCTGCAAAAGGCTCCAAGAGGTTGTCAGCATAACAGACGAAGGCTTCAACTAAAACCAACAAATGTAAATGTATTGGTTAGTAAATGAGTAAAACTCGTGATTAATGGAAGGATGTGAAAAAATCGATTTTTTGCAAAGTTCCAAAGCAAACAGTATGATTTCAGGCCTGATTTTGATCACAAACTACCTTGAAAAAACTAGTAACCGAAAAAAAACCTTCGATCAATTTAGAGAAATTTCAATTATCACTATTTACTGAGAAATCGTGGCCACCGACTTTAAAGGCGATATTTCGAGAAAACACGTTCAAAGCTTGATTTAGTCGACCCTTCTGGAGTGACGACCCGATCTTCCAAAAAAAATATGCTGTTATTGTGATTGATATTTTCCTTTTACCATTGAACACACTTCACGTAGGTGCATGTAGAATTTGGCTCAAATTTTTAACTGAATTTTTTGATTGAAAATTGACTAAAACTTCTCTTTAAACCATTTTCAAAGGGATTTGAATTAAAAAAGAATTAATTAATATAGTAAAAAAATATATCTTTCTATAAGCATTTTCACTCACAGCTTAGTACAGTTTGCAACCTCAATACCATATTTTAGCCACCTGTGTTATTGGTTTTTGACTTTGCTATTTATTCAATCTAGTTTTGTAATAGCAGCGCATGTTACTGAGAAGAATCAGTCAAATGTTTTTTTATAATTGTATATTAATACATAATTTATAATTGTATATTAATCTTGCTTCCACATTTATCTTAAAAATATTTTTACTTGCTTTGAGTACATAGAACTACTTCAAATATTCGGCTAATATCATATTTCTTGACACTTGCAACATTGTATTTAGCAACATGTTCCTACAACATTCCAACGTTAAGCAACACGAAGCAGCTGATTTTGACGTTTACGACTTCTAGTTGATTTATTTATTGCAGCTTCTAAATTTTATGTCGAAAGCCTATTAAACTGTATCGCTCAAAAATTAAAATGTTTTGTTGTTTGCGTACATGTTTCCACGAAAATATGAGGAAAACCGCATCCTCAGCTGCTAGTAGAATGCGTGAGCCAGACATATTTCTCGATTCTTCATTTGCGGGTAAAAGTTTTACAAAAAAAAAAAAGAAAACAGACATATGCAAAGATATATATATATAAATAAATGTGTATAAATTAGTGTTATTAATCGTTAATAAAATGTAAATGTTACTTTTATACGTTAACTATGCAAACTACAGGGCCTGATGTTATACTACTATCAAGACAGCTGCGAATTACTGGCTCCGGCGGCGCCTTGGCCACTGCACCACTTGTACAATCCAAATCATATTTCGAAATCAAAATACAACAAGGTGGCAGTTGGTCGGTCGGTTTGGCAACGCGTCAAGCAGATTTGACGAAAAAGTTGGGTGGCTGTGACAAGGAATCGTGGTGTCTTTGCTCCGACAACGCAACACGCCACAACGATGAAACCTTCCGTCCAGTAGTCGTGACGACACAAGAACCAATTAGCAATGGCAATGGTATTGTTAAGGATTCTGCAGTGGCGGCTGGCCTCATCGGCATTGAAGATGTACCTGAAGATAATTTGCTTGGCGATGATCTGAATGTTAGTAGTAATTGTGAGGGTAATCTTATCGCACAACCACTACACAATTTTCCCGATGAAGGTGATATTGTAGGTGTAGCATTCGATCATATAGAATTAAATTTCTATTTTAACGGTAAAAATTTGGAAGTGCCGTTTCGTAATGTAAAGGGCGCTGTGTACCCAGTCATATTCGGTAGGCTTTGCTAACAGTAATCACTTAATTGCAAATAAGTATATATATTTTTATAATTTCAGTGGGCAATGGTGCCATTGTGGACATTATTTTGGACAACTTTCACTTTGGTGCGCCGCCAGGTTTCGAAAAAATTATGCTTGAACAATCTCTGCTCTAAACTTACATTTTTCAAAGGTATAGCTCATTAATATGCATAACATTTAGAAAAATCTTAAATATATACGTTAAATCTATTTATTTACAGGCGTGCACGTTTCGCAGAATAACCATGTGCTATTTTGGTAGCAGTCATATTGTATGATACATTATATTTTTTATCAACTATGCATAATTCATTGACATGTATATATTACACTATTATTGAAACGAACACAATATTTTTCACACTATATTATGTACTAGTCAATGAACATTTCCATGTATTAAACTGTCCACTCTGCATTTCGTCACTAAAATACTGAGATTATATAAGATTAAAAAAAAATGTAACTTATTATTTCATCTAGACTACTTAAAAAGACTATTTGTATTTATTTTATATATGCTATGTACATTTTACACAAATATTTTTTCTAATATTAAAAAAAATCATTTATGCTAAGTAATAATGTTAAGCAAAAATAGTTACAATAAATATAATTAAGCTTATAAAATTATAAAAAAGAGCTAATACACATTTTGCTTGCACCGTAAAAAATCTTAAAGCCTATTAACTATAAAATATATTAAATTATTTCGTTAAAGTATGTGTGTCCATTTTGAAATATGAAATCTATTGTTCGTATCTACCTTAACCAAAAAAGTCTGCGGACAATAATATTGATATATATGAAAGTCACTTACAATAACAGTAAAAATAATAAAAAATGCCGATGTTTGTATGTATATAGTATTCTGATGTTATTAATAAAACGAGATACTTTGATGCAAGCTAAATTTTTGCAAGCAATATTTTTCGATTGGTTCCAGTTCTACATTATTTTGCTTAAACCGATATATAAATCGAGCACAAAACACAAACTGTGAAAATAATATGCCTTGGCAGTATATCCTTGAATGCTTCGAATGCATTCGCGATTATCAGCGCAGTAGTGAGAAAACTGTACACCGGGTGCCCAGAGAACTCGATTGAATTGTGATCGAACTCCATCCTCTCTCTTTCACTGCTGATTATCAAGAGGTTTTGTCGGCAAGTAAGCTCCAGAAAGTCTCTTCACAGTTTATACTTCCCTTGCAGGTATAAATGATATTGAACCGTTGAAGAGTTTTTTACGGATGAGTCGAATTCTGAGAGAACGTCAGTTCAATTGTATGGATGCTTTGCCATAGTGCAATCTATGCTGAGCTGGAAACTGCTCAGTCGTTGGATTTAGAAGGAAAGGCCTTATGTCTTAATATAATCACACTTCACTAAGTTTACTATTGCAGTCTTCTTGCGCCATTTTTCACCTTTTCCTTAGTAAAGTTGGCTTTTCCTGGATTTGCTGATACTATTCTGTCATTGTCCAAAGACCAACGAGTTAAAAATCTTGACGAATGCCCATTGTCGAAATTGCTTGGCAGAACACATAAACCATTTTGTATCAAATCTTTTTTTTTAAGAATTTAGCTGCGCTCAAGACGCTTTGAAGTCATATAAAGTAGTAGTGCTATCTTCAGTAGTTTTTGATATCACAAAAGATTTGACTCAACTTTGACAATGTGTGCTCCTTTTCGGAGAAAAGCGTAAACGCTTAATCAATATCAAAATCATCATTATAACTGAGTCTCAATTGAATCAGAAAATAAGACCTTGTAAAGGGTTTCCTAGATCCCCAAGACATATTGCTACAGAGAAGACGTTTCGCTACCAAACCAAAAAAAAACAACATTATTTCAAAATGCATTAGCCAGTGCATTCTTTCTAATAATTTAAACCTAAAAACACTCTGAAATCACAGCAAAGCTCATTTGAAATTTGAGCTTAAAAGTTCAGGCAATTCTTTATGAATATTTCTACAAACAATTTTCTTGGTAAGGGACTGTACAAAATTGAGTTCTTTACAAACACTATACCGTGAAGTCTATCAGAATAATGGAGAGAACACTTTTGAAATTTTAACAAATACAAAATTATAAAAAATCTCGCATCAAAATTATTATTTCAAACAAAAAAAAAAAAAAAAAAAATATTGCAAAATTCAAAATTGTAAAAATATTTTGCAAAATTATTGTCAACAAAAAATCCACGAATGTTTCGCACATTTTAGTTTCGGTAAACCAGACAAAATTCACAGTTTATGAAGGCTACAACAATAAATGTCAAGCCGCGTAAGTTTGTATACTTACATTCTCATTTTCGTGAAGTAAACTCTATCTCTTCCACATGCTCCCGTCGGATATGCCACTGCTAGGGCGAAATTATACAAATTCATATTGGACAAGCTGGAGTACAAATAGCCAATGCCTGCTGGGAGTTATATTGTCTCGAACATGGAATCATGGCAAACGGCGCGCTGTGCCAAATGCCGAACGACGATTCGTTTCTCACATTTTTCGGCATCTCAGGCATGGCGCTAAAAGTGGTGCCGCGTATTGTGATCGTCGACACGGAGCCAACTGTTATCGGTGCGTATGCAGAAGGCTTGTCGTGGCCGCCGAAAATTTCTATCACAACTTACATGTGCATTCTAATCCTTTTCAACGCTTAACTCTACGCTCTAGATGAAATACGCACGGGCGCCTACAGATACCTCTTTCATCCGGATACACTCATAAGCGGCAAAGAGGATGCAGGCAGCAATTTTGCACGCGGCTACAATCTACTGGGCCACGATCTCATCGAACGCACGATGGACGCTATACGACGAGTGGCAGAGCAGTGTCGCAATTTACGTGGTTTTCTAATATTTCGCGCCATTGGTGGCGGCACCGGTTCCGGTTTCGGCACGTTATTGCTGGAAAAGTTGGCCGATGCCTATGGGAGGAAGACTACGAAGGCTGAGTTTCTAGTATTTCCATCACCCTCGTGAGAAAACAAAAACACAACTGATGATCACAAATTAAATTAACGGGCTCTTATCATCTTGCAGGCTTTCACCGATTATCGTTGAACCGTATAATGCCTTGTTGGCCACACACTATTCCATGGACTATGTGGATGTGTCCTTCATTGTAGACAATGAAGCTTTGTATGAAATCTGCGATACGAAGCTCGGTGTTTCAGCGCCCACATATACCAATTTGAACCGTATTATAGGACAGGTGAACTTCCGCATCACCACGCAGTTTTATCATCTATTTCAATCACTGTCATTGCAGGTTGTCTCCGCATTTACGGCGTCGCAGCGTTTTTATGGCACAAACAATGTATCCTTTGAGGAGTTCCAAACAAATCTGGTGCCTTACCCGCGCATACACTATCCATTGCTCACGTACGCGCCGCTGGTGCCCGTTAGCAAGTTTCCCTATGTGAACAGTAATGTTGAGCAACTGACCCAGTCTTGCTTCCATCCGGGCAGTCAAATGGTGCGTTGTAATCCGACGCTCGGCAAGTATATGGCTTGTGTGCTCCTTTACCGAGGCGATGTGTCACCGAATGACATCAACTCCTCCATCCAACATATTAAATCATCACGTACTGCTCGTTTCGTGGATTGGACGCCGACTGGATTCAAAATTGGCGTTAATGCCATGCCGCCGGTGTTTGTACCGGGCGGCGATCTGGCCCCTACATCTCGTGCCGTCTGTGCAATTTCCAACAATACCATCATTCGCAGTGCTTGGTGTCGGCTGGTTAGTAAGTATGATAAGTTGTACAATCGCCGTGCCTTCGTGTACCATTTTGTGGGTGAGGGCATGGAGGAGGGCAGTCTGTCGGAAGCGTCGCAAAACGTTTGCCAGCTCGTGGCTGACTATTATGAGATGGAATCATCAGCACGCAGCTCAGTTACGCAAGATGACAATGAGAATTAAAATTGTTTACTCGTAAACAGAACACATAATATAATTTAAAACTTTTTGTTCTAAAATTCTCCCAAAAAAATATAGTCGTAAATTGATTAGTACTGGAATGTTTAGTGAAAACTGTGTGTAATGTTTTTATTGTTGTAGAGTGAACATGAGAAGAAAGTCCACTTTTGACGAACAAAAACCAAACTTTATGAGTCACTCATTATTCCCGTCCCGCTATATGATGGAGAGCCATGGATAATGACATCTGATGAGTCGACGTTAGGAGTTTTCGAGAAAAAGGTTCTGCGGCTGATTTATGGTCCTTTGTGCATTGGCCACGGTGAATACCGCATTCATTCATGAACATTGACATAGTTCAGAATTAAAAGACAGCGGCTATGCTGGCTAGGTCATGTCGTCCGAAAGGACGAAAACACTCCAGCTCTGAAAGTTTTCGACGCAGTACCCATAAGGGTAAGCAGAGAAAGAGGAAGACCTCCACTCCGTTGGAAAGACCAGGAGAAATGACTGGCGCGCTGTTGTTAACTCAACAGACACTTTAATCCTTTAGTGAAACCATACTCAACCCTACCTCTGCAAATGCAAACCCTTACACTCTTACCAACCTTCGGCGTCATCCTTTTGAACTACTTCACACGCTCAGCAAGGTGAGAGGTATATGGTATATATGAGGTATATATGTATACCCGCCAGTATGGCTAATGAGTGAGAACCTGGTGAGTTCACTAGCTACTGCAATACCAGATTATCGTCAATGCTGCTTATGATGTTGGATATAGAAGCATCCAACAATTTCTTATTTCTCTTTGCCTCAGAATCTCTCTTGTTCACTATACCTCACTCTCTTTTCTTCTTTTACGCAAAAACTTACCTTCGAAGGAGGTCAGGATAGTACTTATCTTTATTTGGATAACAAAATATATTTGGAAAGGTCAGCGTGTGAAGTCAGGACCTTATGCGTTTCGGCCTTAGACCTTTTTATTCGAAATTTTCAAAAAACTTTTCTTATGAACCGTTAGGGTATTAACCTCTCGAATACACACGAAATTTATACATGCTTGTATCTACGACTGACGCTGACGCTTCTCCATATCTGTCCCACACAATTCGGTCCTTACCAAAATATTGATGACATAATTGCCGTAATTGCGTGAAAAATAACTTCATCAATGTACGTTGAGACGCAGCTACGGCGAAACCTGTGACGGCAGGCAGGCCGTCACGTAGCCTAAATGATCGATGATGGATCACACTCGATTACAAATGCGCATAATGGCCCAACATGACGTGTGACGCCAGGTCAACGCCGCACTGACAATATTCTGAAAGGTTGTATGTCGTACCGGCACAACACCCGTTTAGCTCCGAGTAAAACAAACAACAATGGCATCGAAAAGTGCACGCAGACAGATAAACAACAACATTTGCAGGGTGCGTGCCCCAACAATTACTAGTCTTGCAACCGCACGTCTCTGGGTCACAAGCGAATTCATAAAATAATAAAAAATAACAAAAAATACAAAAAGTAAAAATAACAAAAACAAACAACGCGGTAATGTTAAAATTAAGTATTTATGGGCGCACAAAAATCAACAAACCCGCAATGCACTTTCCTCCATACGCCTTTGCTGCACACAATGATGACGATGAGCAATTCAAGCGCATATCCTGCCCCTCATAATAACCCATAATTAAAAGAGTGGTACCCTTTTATTTCGGCCACTCGCATTGGCGTCACGCGCGCTGCGTAAAAGCGACGCGAACGCAAGGCAATCCGCGCGGCAACACGACACATCTGGTCACAGAGCGCGCCAGGCTCTGAGTCAGCCTGCGTCTCCTTCCACCGCCAGCTACAAATATATATATATATATATACATATGTACATATATGTAAGTGTGTATGGAGTTTTCGTCGTTTGGCGCTTACTTGCGGCAAGGTCTTTTCGTGCGTCTCCTGCGCAATCGT